TGTTCCCAGGAGCCTTTGCTGAGCACACTACCCGAGAACAGAAATGACTAGTGAGACACTGACCGAAAGCCTGCTGGTAAGCATTAAATATGTGTCTGCCTGAGGAAATGAGTGGAAGTGATGGCTAGAAGGGAAAAAGTACAGGCTCCCAGGGCCGTGTGCTCTGAAACTGTAGGTGCAGCTCCATTTGTAAATGTGGGAACAGAATGGGAAGGGTGTGTAGAAAATAGCTTCAGTTTATGATGCCTGATTGCTTTTTACCTGGGAAAAGAGATGCTTAAGGTCAGTTGCTGAGATGTAGGTAAGTGAAAAAGGATTTACTAGGAACTTCAGTGTTATTCGTAGTAGTAAACCAATAGTTGTTTGACGAAGGAAGAGACGGGGAGCCTTATGTAAAGATGCTGCTATGCATGAAGCAATTAGAACAACAACATCAACTGTCTTAAATTCCTCCATACCCCTAAAAACTCTAGAAAAGAAATCAGTAAATAAAATAGACTACATTCTGAAAAGTCGTCTGTATAAAACACAGCATAATTATAAAACAATATAACAAAGTCCAAATATAACAGCCATATAAATAAATCAGTGTCAACCGGGCGTGGCGGCGCACACCGTAATCCTAGCACTTGGGAGGCTGAGGCAGGAGGATTGCTGGGAGTTCAAGACCAGCCTGGGCTACATAGTGAGTTCCAGGTCAGTCTCAACTACATAGTGAGACTGTCTCAAAAAAAAAAAAAAAAAAAAAAAAAAAATCAGTGTCATGAGAACAATTCACCTAGTTAAAAAAATCTTCTTTGAAAATTCTATGTTCTGCCCTACAAAAGAGATACAGATAGGCGAAAAGTAAAATTAAACTGTGAGATATATACAAGCCAATAATAGGATAAAAAAAAAGAATCTATACCTTTCAAGTAAAAATAAATCAGAGCACATTTTCACCACTCCAAAAACAAACACACCTCCCTCTGCGCCCAATCTGGATTTCCCTCGTCCTTGGTAACCACTAATTTGTTATTTGTAGCTACAAATTCACTTCATCTATTCTGTATGTTTCAAGTCAACAGAATCAAATAATATGTTCTCTTTTGTGACTTCTTTCACTTAGCGTAATGTTTCGTAGACATCCACCTTTATGGCATATATCAGCATTCAAATTCCCTTCACTGCCAAATAATATTCCATTGCGTGGATAATGTATTGCATGGATGACTACAAGATGCTGTTAATAAAATACGAGCAACTGAATTCTATAATTTAAGTGGATGAATCGTTTGCTGTATCAATTATACCTCCGCAAATCTGTTAGCAAAAATGAAAGATCTCACAGATCATAATTTTGGAATTTGGATGGTGATTAACCTGCCCAATTTGCCCGGGACTTTCCTGGGTTTAGTATTGAAATACTAACACAACAGCGAAGAGCAGAAATTCATAGCAGTGTATGCCATAGCTCAGTCCAGGACATATAAAATTTAAAACATTAAAACATTTTTAAAAATCAGTAAAATGACACTTTAAAAACCAAGCAAGAAGTTGAAGGCAAAAACCCATATAAAGCACTTGAAGTAAGGGAGAAGTAATTATTAAAAACATATCATGGGATGACTTTTAATGACTATGGAATAATTCTTAAAATCATATAAAATGGAAACTTTTAAAAGAAAACTACACCTATCAAAATTGACCTTTGTAGACATAAAAAAAAATCTAAACTAACTATCTTAATAAAAGTGGCAGAAGTAGAACCCCTTACACAAAATCACACCATTACATCCGAAATGTATCAAATATTTTAAAATCACTTCCAGCCAGGGATCTAAATCTGTGGTGCCTCCATCTGCCTCACAAGTGGAAGGTCCCAAGTTCGATCCCTGGCACCAAAATTAATTAATTGATTGATTAATTTAAAAAACAAAAACTCAGACCCCTTCCGTGCTATTTAAATAATCTCAGTGTACAAAAACATACGGGAACGATCTAAATTCATTTTATAAGGTGACCATAATGACGGTTACCATAGCTACCACAGGTCATATCAAACTAAAAGTATCGGGGCCAGGGATTTGGCTCAGTGGTTCTGCCGTCTGCCTCACAAGCACAAGGTCCTGAGTTAGATCCCTGGTACCAACAATAAATAAATAAATAAAAGTATAGATCAAAGTTTGCTTATGAATATTAAGGCAAAGTGTAAATATCAGCACATTTTAAAGGATGTAACACCACTCAGTTCTTTTCTTTGCTCTTGCGAAAAATACCTGACATCTCCACTTAAAGGAAAAGAGATTCATTCTGGCTCAGAAGTTTCAGTCCATATTCTACAGGTTAAACACAGACACAGCATGGTAGGAATGATTGAATGCAGGAAAACTGCTCATGGCGAAGTGGCCAAGAAGCAGAGAGAAAAGGAGGAAACTTGTAAGGGAGACACACACGTCCAAATCCTGCCCCAGAGACCTGCCTGCCCCGTACCAGACTCTACTCCCCAACATCAAGTCAGCTGCAGGACCTCCATGAGTCAACCGCGCTTCAAAGACCTCACCTCTGAGGCCCTGTGGCCTCTCTGAGACTGTCTTGATCTAAACTATAACAACCACCAAGAAAAGTTTACTCCCAAAATGTGATATTCCATATTAATTCAATATTCAATATTATGAAATCTAATGATATATCTATGTTTTACAGCAGCTTAGTAGCGAAATCCTTGCAATTCATAGTAGGTAAATCTTGGAAGCATCCTATAAGCCCATCAACAGATGAGTGGATAAAGAAAATGTGAGATACCTGCCTATCTATCTATCTATCTATCTATCTATCTATCTATCTATCTATCTATATCACAGTACTACTTAGCCTTAAAAAGGGATACATTTAAGTCATTTGTAGGAAAATAGACCTGATTAAAATGGTTAGTCATAAAAAGACGTGGTATGCGTATTCTTCAGTCCCCCAAGATAAATGTAATTATTATGTATCACAAATATATGCTAATAAAAATAAACTAAAAATGATAGCTATTGATAGAGCTTATCACACAAATAGAACTAACAAGAAAAAAGCCTCTGATATTTTTCTAGATATACGGAGTCATTTCCTGAAACTTAGGAACTATTCATATTGAATACATGCAATTAAATAGGTATCACAGGTAACTCCCTTAATAAGGTCTGTACCAATATTTGCATTTATTAGCCATATTCCTCCTACTAACAATCGTATAAGGTGGGTATTATTCCCATTTTATTTACAAGATGTCTGGGAATTTAGGAGGCAAATCATCCAAGAGCACATATGATTAATGTGTGAAAAAGCTTGCATTTAGGATTGCCTCATTCTAAATCTGGTTCACAACTATTTACATTAATCTATGTATTGCAAAATTTTCTCTGATCACTGTATGTCTCAGATTTTACTTCTTTCTCCCCTTCCTCTGTCTAGTTAAAATCTGCCAAGCAGGGCCAAACTATTACTCTTTTTGGGGGGTGTGGGGTGGTACTGGGGATGGAACTCGGGTCCTTGCGCTTGCAAGGCAGGCAGTGGAACCACTGAGCTAAATCCCAGGCTCTTATCTGTAGTCTTTAGGTGACCCACAGGAGTCTTGGAAAATTCTACACTGCATTGCCATTATTTCTGTTTGGGCCTCTGGTTCACTTCCAGGCTGGGAGGCCTCTATGAAGGGGCACCTCACACCACACATGCCCCACCTGAGAAGTGGCTTCCATGTTGCTCAGTTCATGTGCAAAAAGGTAGATCATTCAGCAACCCATGCCTGGAATGTCCACACTGACTAAAAAAGTCAGAGTTAGTACTGATTTTTGAATCTGCCCAGCAGTATGATCATTGCCACACGGTTTGGTTCTATTCTGAGAACCCCAAATATTTGCTGAAATTTGTCCTGGCTTTCATAATCCAGGGGATTCTGTGGATTAGAGAGGCTGAGGTTTTGTTCCCGCACCTGTTAATTCGAGCCAGGAGTGCACGAGACGTGGCATAGGGAGGTGGACATGTTAGGTCCTTCTACCTCCTAGACACATACCTTGAATTTTGCTTCTGTCTCACACTCTTTCTTTACAAAGGTATAATTTCACCCTTTCTTCATAATTGGAACTCACCACCATCATGATGAAGTTATTCAGTTTAATAGTATATATATGAGAATAAATTATATTTTACAGAATTCTAGCAGCCAAAGTTGGGAAGAATCAACCAATAGTCCTTCTGCTATTATTTCCTAGTCTACCATTTCCTTCCCTTCTGTCTTGCCTCATCTTCTTTTCTGTTGTCCTGAGATTTCAAAATTCATCTCTCTGTACAATGAAGAGCTACACTACCTTTCCTCTCCTGCATTTATACCCACTTTATAATAATTCAAACCCTTGTTAAAATTTATAATTATTCATCTTCTAAAAGATCTTTCTCTTTTGAGTAACTTCTGCTGATGCTATAAAAAAATGTTCACCTTGTTGTGGCTGTAAGATACAAACCACTGAATGGCCACAGAAATAGATAGTGCAGGGTCTAGGCAGGGTCCAGTCCTATAAAAATAACCAGTGGCCATTTGCTTAAGTGGTATCACTTCTGGATAACTCAATATTCACATAATGGTGTGTTCTCTTGATGGGGTAAAATAAGTCAGATCCAGGCCCCTTCGTCTGAATGCCTTTGAGAGGCTAGTTTGATGTCACTGTCTGCGTCAGACAGAAAAGATTAAGGATGGAGGAAAAGCCATTATCAGAGGTGTCATTGAGTTTTCTTTGGCTAAAACTAGTGACAATCTTTTTCTCTGCTAAAGCTTCACTAACAGCATTTGCTTACACTCACATGTGTATTTATAGATACTCCCTGTATTTTCCTTATATCTTTATTTTGTATTTTTATCAGTTTTACAACTCGTTTTCTCTTCAAGTACATATTTATGCATAATTCACTAACTGCCAGACACTGGAAAGGGCACTGTCCAAGACAGGAGAGAAATTCAATATGTTGCTCTTTTTTTGTAGATGTTACAGTATCGAAGGAAATTGAGAATCGAGCACAAACTTCCCAGTTCCATTAAGGATATGAAAGGATAAGAATGAGAAGCCATGGTGCATCTCGGTGGTGAGCAACTGAGGTTTGGGATATCAGGAAATCTAGGAAGAAAATGGTGTCTTACAGGGTGTGAGGTGGACGACTGGCCAGGTGAGGAAGGGCTGGAAGGAGGCCATGCAGAGAGCCTTAAATGCTCAGCGGGACGAATGTTACCAGTGAGGTTTTACAAATGGGGAAGCTGAGGCCCAGAGAGCCTGTTCATCGTGTCGGTGAAGTGACAGAGTTTAACGGAAATGCCAGATAATGTTTGTTTTATGAAAGCTATTCAGGCAAACACCTCTTCTCTAGATTAAATAGGATTTAATTGTATTTGCATTAAATTAATAACATTTCTCCTGGCAGAGTCAGCCGGGCCTGATAATGATATCAGTAGCAGGACACCTGGGTACGGAATACCTTCGGGGGATAAATCTGGTGGGCGAATCTATCCATTTTTTTTATTGAAATCCCCTTTCCTTGAGTTAGTTCTAGCATCTCTATCTGTCAAAAACTTATACCATTAGTAAAGCCCAATTTAATCTTCAGAAACTGAAATATTGCTGCACTGACCTCCAGGAGGCTACAGCTACCCAGAAAATGCCCTGCTCATGGTATTACACATGAGTTAATTTAGTTCCTTTTAATAGTCCTCAATCCAGGAAACCTCTCCTTAGAGATTTAGTTCCTGGGTGACAGACCAATGATAACGCACACCAAAAATGTAAGAAATGTCCACAGAACAGCCTTGTCCAAATGTGTTTTAAAACTGCAGCAACGGGGAAGTAGTGTCCATTCTCGGTGGGTCTCCGGGGAAGAATGGAACGAGACCCATGTTTGGAGTCGCTGATGGGAATTATTTGGCTAGTGTATCTAGGGAATCCTTGAAAATGCTCGATGCTGCCCCTTGTGGAGAAAGTGTGCAGTGCAGGCCTAACCTAGCCGATCAGCAGTAGGGAATGAGTTGTCTATAGGCAAGTTTCTCATGCAGAGAACATTTATATTGGACAGAAAGTAAAGCTAGAACTCCTTTCTTGACGAACAATTTGAACTTAATCTTTACTTTTTCTGTGCAGTAACTGGCCAAAAGATGAAAGTATGGCTATATCTTGTATCCATTTTATTATCTTTTCAAATAAGCTCATTCTGGCCTTCACATAGAGCCCCCCCCCCAGGTCTTACATTTCCTAAATGCTCACAGTTCTAGAAATTGCTATAGATGTCATATGTTTGTCTCCCATATTATGAAATGAGAATATCCCATGTCACAGCATGTCAAAGTCTTTAAAGATGGTGGCATATGAAAAAATATGGTCTTGCAAGTAAAAAAACCAATAGTATTTGTCCTCCCAGGGATAGTGTGATGACAGAAAATTTTAGTGTCTTAATTCTCAAAGACAGAGTACAGCACTTTTGGTATGAAAAAGCTGAATGCCCCCATCAGACATGTGGGGGGTTGTAAAAATGATAAATCATAGCAAGTAGAAATGAGGATTCAGAATACCTAGGATTCAGTTCTAGACCTCCTGAGAAAGTGCACAATTTTGTGAAAACCTCAGCTTGGCCAGGGACAAGAAAAGAGTCAAGAAAAATGCATTATGACAGGAAAGAAAATTCATACTAGTGTAGCTGGAGAATAGGCAGTGTTCTGGAGTCTTGCTGAAAATTAGTCCTGAGAGATGGGGTGAGGTGGGGCCATATTGGGAAAAATACTGAATGTCTTACAGGACTTTACCTTGATCTGGTATAAAATGTGTATTCACTGAAGATTCTCCAGCAAAGTAGTAGTGTGATCAAAATAGTATTTGACAAAAAGAAAGCAAAAGTGTTCAACATAAAAGGACAAATCTTCCTTGACAAAGACTGAGGTCAGGGAGATCAATTAACAGGCTGTATCCCAGAGAAGTGGAGATTTGGTCCTTACTTAGGACAGAGACAGAGTAGGAGGCAGTGTCAATAGACATTTGATTGTAACAAAATACAAAATATGAAGAGAGCTAGGGAATAGTTAAATACCAGTCAGATATAACTGGTCTATATTTTCAAGGGTGTTTTAGGGAGGAAGTGGAATACACTGCTTAAGAAAACAGAGTTGGAACTGGGTGTGGCAGTACATACCTGCAATCCCAGAAACTTGGAAGGCTGAGGCTATGAGATTGCAAGTCTAAGGCTGCCCTGAGAGGCTTTGCGAGACTCTGTCTCAAAATAAAATTTTAAAAATTAGATTTGGGGATGCATTTCAGAAATAGAACACCTGCCTAGCATGCATGAGGCCCTACGTTCGATTCCTCAGTATCAAAACTAAACAACAATCAGGAACTCAATAGAGTTGGCATGGGACTCATTCTCATTTGACTCCTGGCTCTTCTCTTTAGCAGATACATAGTATTAGTGAGTAATGCCTCCTTTGAGACTGATTTCTTTACCTGTAAACCGAGAATGACAACATAGCAACTTTAGAGGATAGTTTGAGGATTCAGTAAGAAAGTTCCTGAAAGAATTTAGCAAAGTCCTATGGAAAATGATCAGTGAACAGTGCATATATTTATTAACTATTACTTTTAGATAATATAGGAAAAATACAAAATGAAATGTGTTTGAAGGCAACATTTTCCTGAAGTCAAATTTGCCTACGCAAAATGTGTGAGCCTGAAAAGTATTTTTCAGGTAAAATATTATTTCACTTGTTTCTACGAAATGACATACCAGAATCAAAAGTTTGAATGCTCAGTGAATGAATATCTGTTTTCTCTGGCTTCTCTTTTGTGAAGTCTTGGTTTCTTGGGAAGCTCTTTGTTGTTGTTGTTGTTGTTTCAATGATGAGAAGCAAGGTTAAAAGGAGTCTATAGATGAGCATTTCAACTTGACCAACAGAAAGAGGCTGCTTCCTGTATCAGGAGTTAAGATTTTCTAGGAAAAGATTCTGATTAGCTTTAGGTGACCTGATATTCATTCTTGGGACAATAAATTTGTGATAGAAACTGAGTAGTAGGGTCAAGTCCTCATTATCTAGTGGTTGGAGGGAGGAAGAAGCAGTTCAAAAGTACCAAGTCTGGAGACGTTTGCATTTTTCTCATGCCTCAGTGCATTTATCTCCTTTGTCTGAATTACCTTTGCTGGGCACAGGAACAGGGAAATGTAGAATCCTCCCCTCAATCGCTCCACTCTACAACTCTTTTCAGGACCCTCAGGGCAGGCTTTCTTGGCCAGTCCACAGCCCAGACTCAATTTGTACTCATCCAAACATGCTGCTATTGCCTGGTCCAGCCATGCTGCCTCCACTGAATATCCTGGAAAGAGCTGTGAATGAACACATTTCTAATGCTATCAATGTTTTATGAATTTCCATCCACTTATTTTAATGGGGAACTGTAAAAGCATTTAACCATATTAAACCCCATCTCTCAGGATCTGCATTGTTCCAACAGAGCTGTTTTATTAGAGCCAACCACCAGGGTAGTTGGGATGGCTTTATTTCCTCTTTTATCAGTTCATCTGCATCTGTAAGTCTGTTTGGCTATCTATGGATGCATCTTCTATTTGTGTATATTTATCAAATTAAGTCAACTAACACCACAGCGAACACAGTCCTGATGATGTGTGTACACACACTCAAACATTTGCATACATCCATGTGCCTCCTCACTAGTATGGTAAGAATTATTTCATCTTTGTCCTTGCTTGACTGGACATGAGTTTTATAAAGACTCTGGTTTTATGGGATGCCCTTGGATTCTCATCTGGACCATTCACTCCCTTGTCATCAGAGTAAAAAACATTCTCAGGAAAACATCTCACCCAGAGTTTGAATATCTGAAATTAATGGTCTAACGTCCAGGCAGTGAAGTCAGGTGAACTTAGAATTCACATTTCTTCTCTACCTCTTACTTTATGGTCTTAGGCAAATCACTTGACCTCCCAGAGCCACATCTATGCAAGGGGGATTTCAGGACTTTTGGGGAATATTGAAAGAGTATATAAATGTGTTTACTAAGGTACCTGCGCAGCAAAGGAATCATTATAAATACGTATATAATTCTAGAAACTAAAGGGCTCAAAGGCTTTCCTCTACCTGATTTCTGGATGTTGGGAATTTCTGTACTAGAACACAAAGCCCTTTGTGTCTTAACTTACTACAGAAAGTTTCTACCTGCTGAGTGACACTTCCCTCCCATCGAGCCTCTGACCAAACCCCAGGTGGGGCATCTCTTCCTGGACTTCTCTGCATCCTCATGGTGACCCCAGGAAGGGAAAGTGGGCCTTTCTCCTCACCACCCCTTCTCTCCCCCATCAGTGCATTTATTTCACTCTTTTAATTGTCTTTCATTAGGTAACAAGTTCTAAATGGGTAGAATAGAAGTCTCAGTTCTTCACACAACTAACAAAATCCCTTAGGAGTTGTGCTCTGCCAACTTCATTTTTCAAGGCTTCTATTCACCTCCACTTTTCTGTCTAATGAGTCTAGCCATTTTCTTCAGCACTTTGTTTTTTGTTTGTTTGTTTGTTTTTTTGAGTTTTTTTTTTTTTTTTTTGAGAGGGCGTTTCTGGTACCAAGGAATCAAACTCAGAATCTTGTGAAACAGGTGAGGCACTACTGAGCTAAATTCCCAGCCCAGAACTTCGGTTTGATAAGTTCCTAACTATTGTGTAAGTGATACAATAAATCACTGGATCCTTACACCTTCCCAAGGTTGGGACTGTTATGATACCCACTGTATAAATGAGGAAATTAAGGCTCAGAGAAGAGAGAAAGTTTACACAAAATTTTCAACCATCAGATTCACCTCAGATGTTCTTATTCTGGAGCCTGGATATATCACTGCCATGTTTCCTTTCTTGTTTATATTCTGCTCTGGACCATTGTTCGCACCAAACCGACCTCCTTCAGTTCCTCTTATCCATACCATGCTTAATTTCAACTACTTGCCTCTGCGCATGCTAGCCCTTCTCTCTGAAGTGTTTCTGTGCTTCCACCCCTTCATCTCCGCTAGTCCTTTAAGAGTCAGAACACCTTCCACTAAGCTCTGCCTGTGTCTCCTAACCTGGTACTTATTACAGTGTCTCAGGATCTGTTTACCTGCCTTCTTTTCCATGTACTGGGGGCTTCTTGGTGA